CTTGCGAAAGTGTTAATATAAACAAAGGAATCTTCTGTGTTTCATTCAGGAAATTAATATCTTCTATAGATAAGATTTCTTTTGATGAGGAAAAGGTGGATTTTCAACTGTATATTCTGCTAGATAGAATAATAGAAAAGGCAAATTGCATTTAAATCTCTTTATAATTCAAGTGATCTTAAAAAAAAGTTATAAGAAAGCTAATATATATTTAGCAACAAATAATCCATACGAGTTTATATTACTTCTTCATGGAACTAGTGATGGTTTTACCAATGATTTATTTTGAGATTTATGTGATAAGAAAACACATCTTGTTTTAGTTATAAAAGTTAAAAATACTGATGAAATTCTTGGTGGTTATAATCCTGTTGGTTGGGATAAATCATTTGTAGGTTGCTAAGATAGCTTTATTTTTTCATTGAAAAATGGTACTATTCAAGATTCTATTTTAAGTCATGTAAAAAAACCAGACATGCAATTGAGAGTAACTCTAGTTGTAGACCATTATTTGGTTATGGTAGTGATTTAGCTATGAAAAATAATTTTAATCAAGATAAACAGTGTTGGAGTAGTCAATTTTCATATGAAAAACGAATTAGAAATGAATCTATATTTGAAAGTAATAAATGTTTATTTTTTTCAGTGGAAGAATATAAAATATTTCAGATTAGTAAAAACTTCTAAAGTTTTACGCTAATTAATTAGCTAGATACGTAGCTTTATCAATATTGTGCAATAACACAGTCTATTTAGTTTATGAGTCTTAGTCTTATACTATCACTGAAAGTATAGACATTCCATAATTATGAATCACCTGTTTTTGTAATACTTTAAATTCTTGCTCATTCTTAGGCAAAATTTAAAAATATAATATTTAGTACCAATGAGAAAAGAGTAATCATTCAATTTCATGAAACATGTAATAGAATCATCATTATATTTTCAAAAAATATGTATATGTAAATTTATAATGATATCATTACATAATTATATAAATAAATTGGCTTCCTTTGGCAACTAGTATATATAGATTCTCATTTTTTAATACTTTCAAAACATCAACGATTTGCTATTGTAATATTAAAAGATTAATGGTTGAAATTGTAGAAAGTAAAGAAATTTTGATAAATTTGATCAACCTTATTTGGAAAGCAACCAGTGGAAAAGTTGTTACTGTTACTTTCAATAACCAGTTACGCTTAGCAACCATCTTATTAGATAATAGAACCAATGCTACCGTAAATTTAGAAGTACTAAGAGCAAAAAATTTTTTTTTGTTGTATAATACAGTATTTGAATTTCTGAATATGCAACAATAACTGAATTTTTTTTAGAGAATTGCTGATAATAAGAACATTCCAAAATATCAACTATATAATAAAAGTGTTAGTGACAACTTGGAACATGAACAAGACATGGATAAATTAATTAATGTTGTCTCTGAAATGTTTAATCAATCAAAAAATAGCATACAAGCAGATGATGTTGATAATGTGTGCCAACTTAATAATGAACGTGTTAATATTAATAATCAGGTAAGAAACTTTTTAATTATGGAAGCTGAAATCAGTTGAAATTTGGGGTCTTTAACTAAATCGACTAAACTTTTTGAAAAGGATGACGAAAGAAATGATGAGGTAAAAAAATCAATAATTTAATGCGAATTAGAATTTTAAATTAATTAACCAACTTACTCTAATAATTAAAAGAGTGAAATAGAAAATATCATTGTAAGTATTATTAGATTAAAATTTTCTATTAGTCTGAAGAGTAATTATTCAAATATTTTTATATACACCAAAATGATTCTAGAATTTATCGCGCAATATAAATATAAATATTCAAGATAATAACAATGATCAAAAGGATAAGGTAAATAAACATTGTAAATTTTGCTATTAATCAGATGTTATTCAAGTATTTTTAAAAAAAATATTTCCAGAATTTGCATGAAGAAAGAATTGATAAGGTAAATATGTTTGTTTTTTGAATTCTTAAATTAATTAGTTTATTCAAGTTTTTAAACTGCAAAAAAAAATGGATCTAGAATTTATTGCATGAAATTACGGATATTGACAATGATAGGGTAAATAAATCAAAAATTTAGTTTGAATATAAATAATATAAGAGTAATATTAAAGTATTTTTAATCATGTAAAAAATGGTTCTAGAATTTAACGCATGAAACTATAAATATCGACAAAGAGGTAAATATGTATTTTTTATTTTTTATTTTTTATTTTAAATTAATTAGTGTTAATTCAAGTGTTTTAATTATGTAAAAAAAATTGTTCTAGAATTTAACACACAGAACTATAGATATCAACAATGAACATGAGAAAAGAAATAATGGGGTAAACAAAAATTTAGTTTAAATTCTACTAATCAGAAGAGCAATTATTCAAGTATTTTTAAACATACAAAAACACGAAACTACAGATATTCACAATATTGATAACAATTTAAAAAATTTTCCAAATCTATACGTTCTTATTACAGAGAAACCTCCATCAGCAAGTATTTTTTATATTAATGATTGCATAAGCATCAACACAATAATTAGATTTTAAAGATAGATAATTAATTATTTCATTTTATTTTTATAATTAAAGAAATGTAGATGTTTGGATACTCCTGTAGATTCAGTATGTATGAAATCTATAACAAATAATATATGCTATAATTTTAACTTGTTTTTTAATATTTCACAAGTTTATTCAAAGAAAGAAACCAAAATCAATAGGTAAGCTAACCTTTTACATCACCAATCAAAATACTAAATTAATGATTTAAAATTATGTTTTAAATATTTAGAAGCTTCAGATTCTTTAAATTTGGCTTCAGAAGGTTCAGATTCGACTTCAGAAGCTTCAGATTTGGCTTCAGAAGCTTCAGATTTTTTATATACAATTTCAGAAGTAAACAGCCTGGTGAGTAAAAAATATATATATATAATTTTACTAATTAACCCAAAAATTAATTATTTAGCAACTATTCAATTTTGATATAAAGTCATATAAAAAACTTACAATACTTAAGATTAACTTTTTTTAATAATTACAAAAAGAATAAATCTCCTAAAAAAAAGGAAAACATGTTATTGTTGAAGCAAAAGAATCTAATATTCATGAAAAGAATAAAAGAAAAGAATTAAGTATGTGAATATATACATACTGAATATATATATATTTTTTTTATATTAAATTTTTTTCAAACTATCAACTTATAAATTCACTATTGCTATAATGCAATCAGGTTATATTAATTCATTAAAGAAAAAAAGGAGAGAAAAGGGAATGCCTAAAACTTTTGTGTCCCAAGACCCAACAAAAATATTTGAAATATACTTTCAGCCTATCAACAGATATTTTAATAAAGCCTTGATATCATCATTAAAACCAGAACTATTGCCAATGCTAATGGAAGATGTTAATAGTTGCACCTCTTATCTTCGAATTTGGGATTTTTATTATAATCATTGTATAAGAGAAATCGGAAACCAGGATTACAAAATGTTAAAACTTATTTGTTTATTATCTGAGGTTTTTTTCAACATGTTAAAGATTTGTCATCAAGAACAAGATAATGAAAAGGCATTAGAGAAAAATACAGGTTATTGGAAGGGGAGGGATATTAAATCACGAATGAACAAACTCTAGGATATTAGTTCACGTTCAATGCTAAAAAAATAAATGGGATGTTGGAGACTATGCTATTTTCTTTGGGTGACAAATGTTACACCCGAAGAAATGGTCGACGTAAAGTTGGATGCAAATTTTTTTCTTCATGCTACAGAAAATGAATACAACTTTCTCATCAAAAAATTATTAGAGGAAGAATTCTCAAATTTTTCAAATATTAAAGGCGAAAAAATATTGGACTTAGTAAATATTGCTAAAAAAGTTAGCAAATAAGATACTTGATTTTTTAAAAAAAATCTGTAGTAAGTTAGAATTTTGCTGATAGCTATATTTATATTTTTCTGAATACTTTGCTTTATTGTATTTGAATTTGAGGATGTAAGGCATGTGATCACAAAGCTTAATGTTATTTTATTAAAATAAGAATAATCTATCGCTATATATTTGTATGAAAATATAATTTTTATCACAATTATTCCATTTTATTCCAATACAGTATCACCAAAAAAATTTTCAGAACAATTTTCAGTTTTCAAAGAATATCAAATAATAAAATAGTCTTATTATTCTAGTCTAGTTTTATAATATTGATATAATTTATTATAACGTTAGTATAATGTCGATATTGATACGTAATTCGGTAAGCTTTTAACTTTTAGTTGAACATGAGACTTTATCAGGATAAAAACTAAATTGAACTTCTACGGCCTTGGGAGACCGTAGGAGTTCAAAAATCAAGTAAAAAAATTAAAACCGATTCTCACAATGTGAATTAACTAACGTTAATTAATGTGAATTAGCTATGTACAGTAAATTGAGCGAATTAACTATTGGGCAGATTATAATTTACTTTATTTTTTATTAAAAAATCATTATTCAAGAATTTAATCAGTATCCTTCATTCAGTCAATTCACTTCAGCCCCACAATATTTCACTTCAATATTTTAATTGTTACAAAAGAAAAATACTGGTATAGACATATAATACAGTATTATTTGATAACTATAAATTATTTCTACATATGTGGGCTCTTTCGTTAATCTCAAAATTTATTTATCTAATTTTCAAATTATTAGAGTTAAAAATACAATATTTACTATATTCCAAACTTTTTAATTCCTACCTAAAATGAATACTTTACCGAACGAATGTATTCTTACCTTTATCAGTAATATCGGCTGATTTAAATTTTTGCAAGATTAAACAAATATAATATTATTTTTTATGTTGAAATTTGCTAATTGGTAATTACCACATGTTTTTTAATAATAATTCATTTATTATTGGTCTGTTCCAAGGAATAGAGTAAAAAACAAAAGTAAGAACAAAAATTAAGCAATTGCTACAATTATCATTAAATTGTATACGCATTCTTGCAATATTTACTAATTTTAATATATTTTTCCCTTTAATGTTATGGAATTCAGAGAATTCTGTAATTATTTAATTAGGAAATTATATTTGCTTTCACTTGCACCAAGAAAATAATTTACATTTAGCTTAACTTCGATCATCTCATCTGGCGTAATATTTGTTACCCATTTTCTCAAAATAGAGCGTGAATTGATATTGCCAAATTTTTTATTAATCAGAGCCTTTAAATCATTACCTTCTATTTATCTGTAGTTTTCTCCAATGCAATTGCATTGCCCAACAATAACATTATACAAAGATTTAAATAACTGCTATAAAAAAACTATCGTAGGATAGCTAAGTATAAGCTATTAATGTTAAATAAATTTAAAATTTTTTAAATTTTATGATTTTTAATAACAGCCATTTATTTTTCTTAGCTCTAACCTTTGATCAAGATTTATCAGAACTATATAGATATTCTTATAGACAGTAATTCATAATATAACACTAAATATACCACCCCTAACGCTATCACTATCTCTAAATAGACAATAGAAGCCTATCACTATCACTATGGAGACCTTTTTAACTAAAAAAAATTAATGATAACGATATGTTACGAAAATACATGATAATATTTTTTACGCAAAAGATCATCATGTAAAGATATCATAATTATCATAAAAGGGATGATAATGCACACTCGCATCTTTAGAAAATCGAAGAATGTCATCAAAAAAAATCAACACGAATAAATTCACGAATAGGAGAGAGAATCTATTTTCCACTCCAATTAAGCAAAAATCTTCATTAACTAGCCTATTATCTTTAGATTCTTACAACTCACACTCTTCGTCCAATTTAAACACTCCTTCTAAGACAATGCCAGGATTGAATTCGAATAAAATAGATCATGTTTTATATTTCACGAAACCTTACACTGAGTGGAAGCTAATAAAATTTCTAAAAAGAAAAAAATACAAACAAGCCCAACAAGATACTTCTTGGAAAGATGAATATGAAACTTACGAAAGACATATAAACCTAATTTTTGATAAGCAACTACAAAAAAAGGTTTATAAAGCTTACATGATAATTTTAAATTTTGATTGCTTTATGAAGGCTAAGAAACTTTTTGGTTAATTATATTATGAAATATTATATTCGCACCCATATTATATAATACTTCTAATAGTATTAATTAGGGTTAGAGTCTAGCTTTAAGATAAATAGGGTTTTTTATTATACAATATATATTAGATATAAGGTTTCGATAGGTCCTGATTTCAGTTCTTGGGGTCCCGATCATTTTTACTTAAAGTACCCTGATCTAGTTTACTTAGTACTTTTTTGAGATATCGCATAATAATAAGGTGTTGTATAATGTGGTGTTACAAATATGATCTTCCTTAAATTATTAAATTTTGGATCTTTTTTTTATTTTTGATTATTTTTATTGCTAGTCGTTAGTTTCTGAAAAGTCGACGAGCTTTTAATTTGATTACCTGCTTTGTCAAGCATAGTATTCTACTTAATTTTGATATTTTTATCATTTAGCTCGTCAGTGCCTGAAAAGCGGCAAGTCTACCTTTTTTTTTTTTTAACTTAGTTGCTTGCTTGTCAGTCTCTAAAAAGTCATCAAGTATAGCATGCTACTTTAATTTTATTATTTTTGTCACTTTGCTTGTCAGTTGATACTTTTTTTGGTTTGTTTTTTAATTTAGTTGCTTGCTTGACAGTTCTAAAAAGTTGTCAAGTATAGCATTCTACTTTAATTTGTCTACTTTTATCGCTTAGCTTGTCAGTCTCTGAAAAGTTGGCAAGTCTAGTTTTTTTTTTTTAGTGTAAAGTCTAGAATTCCTTTTATTTTATTTTTGTTCTGCCTATACTTCACAAGCTTGATTTTGCAAAATTTACAAACAATGCTTATTGAATGTAATATGTGATAGGAAGACAAATTCGCAAACAAAGTCAAGAAGTTTTGGTCAGGCTGGTGTCAGCAATATGCGAAATCTGATAAAAATAAGATTCCACCCGAAGCACAAGATTTTTTAGGCAAGCAAAATTTATTTTTCATCTTGCTTTTAAAAACTGATCTCATAGATTTATTATGAATGTAGATGATATATTGGAACAAAATCAAAAAATTGGGAATCATTGGAAAATCAAAAACATGTAATCCTAATATTTAAATCATAATTATTTTCTTTTTTCACATAACTAATATTTATTACTAATGTTTTATCTACAGAAATCCAACAATAAGTTACCATCTGGTCGAACTATAGAAGATTCCCTGCAAGAAGCAATCATTCAAATTCAGAAAAAAGATTCTTATTATAATCATGAAATTTTTTCAAATATTATTAATACAAATGATAATGACATCAAAACAATCTTATCTATAGAAGATATTAATTTCCTGAATGAAACACAGAAGATTCCTTTGTTTATATTAACACTTTCGCAAG